AGCATATTGTGATAAAGGTCATTATTTTCCATAATGTAATGATAAAAATGAAACTTTCATATATTTCAGATTCATTGCACACCAACTGAAATATTTCAGGTCTTTAATTGTTTTAATACTGATTATTATGGCATACAGCTCATGAAAACCCAAAATGCCTGTCCCAAAAAATGAGCATATCATGAAAAGGTTCTCTAAACAAGCTATTAACCTAACCATCTGAATCAACGACGTAACTCTAAACACCTGCAAAAGATTCCTGAGGCTTTTAAAAACTCCCAGCCTTGTTCATTACTCAAAACCACAATCATGGGTAAGACTGCCGACCTGACTGCTGTCCAGAAGGCCATCATTGACACCCTCAAGCAAGAGGGTAAGACACAGAAAGAAATTGCTGAACGAATAGGCTGTTCCCAGAGTGCTGTATCAAGGCACCTCAGTGGGAAGTCTGTGGGAAGGGAAAAGTGTGGCAGAAAACGCTGCACAACGAGAAGAGGTGACCGGACCCTGAGGAGGATTGTGGAGAAGGGCCGAGTCCAGACCTTGGGGGACCTGCGGAAGCAGTGGACTGAGTCTGGAGTAGAAACATCCAGAGCCACCGTGCACAGGCGTGTGCAGGAAATGGGCTACAGGTGCCGCATTCCCCAGGTCAAGCCACTCTTGAACCAGGAACAGCGGCAGAAGCGCCTGACCTGGGCTACAGAGAAGCAGCACTGGACTGTTGCTCAGTGGTCCAAAGTACTTTTTTTGGATGAAAGCAAATTTTGCATGTCATTCAGAAATCAAGGTGCCAGAGTCTGGAGGAAGACTGGGGAGAAGGAAATGCCAAAATGCCAGAAGTCCAGTGTGAAGCACCCACAGTCAGTGATGGTCTGGGGTGCCATGTCAGCTGCTGGTGTTGGTCCACTGTGTTTTATCAAGGGCAGGGTCAATGCAGCAGCTATCAGGAGATTTTGGAGCACTTCATGCTTCCATCTGCTGAAAAGCTTTATGGAGATGAAGATTTCATTTTTCAGCACGACCTGGCACCTGCTCACAGTGCCAAAACCACTGGTAACTGGTTTACTGACCATGGTATTACTGTGCTCAATTGGCCTGCCAACTCTCCTGACCTGAACCCCATAGAGAACCTGTGGGATATTGTGAAGAGAAAGTTGAGAGACCAAGACCCAACACTCTGGATGAGCTTAAGGCCGCTATCGAAGCATCCTGGGCCTCCAGAACACCTCAGCAGTGCCACAGGCTGATTGCCTCCATGCCACGCCGCAATGAAGCAGTCATTCATGCAAAAGGATTCCCGACCAAGTATTGAGTGCATAACTGAACATGATTATTTGAAGGTTGGTGTTTTTTGTATTAAAAACACTTGTCTTTCATTGGTGGGATGAAATATGCTAATTTTTTGGGACAGGCATTTTGGGTTTTCATGAGCTGTATGCCATAATCATCAGTATTAAAACAATTAAAGACCTGAAATATTTCAGTTGGTGTGCAATGAATCTGAAATATATGAAAGTTTCATTTTTATCATTACATTACGGAAAATAATGACATATATATATATATATATATATATATATATGGACTGGAGACCTGTCCAAGGTGTCCCTCACACAGTGATTGCTGGACATGGGCATCGGCAACCCCCATGACCCAAACTGGAAGAAGATAAAAAGGTAAAAGTGGATGGATGGATGATTTGTAAAGCTGCATCAAAGCCTGAGACCGGCCGGCCCTAAACCGGGTCGGTCCAGGCCGGGTTCTTCGTTCTGGTTAGAAATACCCTACTGCTGCTCACAGACAGTCACCTCTCGTCTAAGTCTTGCTTCCACAACTCTCTCCCAGATCTTCATCGTGTGGCTCATCAACTTAATTCCCCTGTAGTTGCTACAACTCTGTACATCACCTTGTTCTTAAAAATGGCCACCAGCACTTCTTCTCCATTCCTCAGACATTTTCTCACCCTAAAGTATGTCATTGAATATTTGAGTTAAAACCTCACTGCCATCTCTCCAAGACATTTCCAAACCTCCACTGGTCATCAGGTCCTACTGCCTTCCCCTTCTTCATTCTCTTCAGAGCTTTCTGGACTTCACCCTCACTAATCTTTCCCACTTCCTGGTCCACAGTTTCTATGACCTCTACTCTTCTTTCTCTTTCATTCTCTTCATTCATTAGCTCCTCAAAGTACTCCTTCCATCTTCCCGTCACACTCTCCTCACTTGTTACAACATTACTATTCCTATCTTTAAGAAGCCAAACCTGCTGCACATCCTTTCCAGCCTGATCCCTCTGTCTCTCCAATCGGTACAAGTCCTTCTCGTCCTCTTTAGTGTCCAGCCTCACATACAACATACAACTCATCATACACCTTCTGCTTTGTCTTAGCTACTTCCCTGTTTGCATGATTAAAATGAGAATGTTTATTATTATTTGCAATCATTATTATGAAATCATGTGAAAAGTTACGTTTTAACATTTTCTCTGCTTTGTTTTCAGACAGAACTCAGTTTTAAGAGACATAACTATGTGTAAGGTTCTGGAGGCAGAATGAATTCTTGCACATCAGTCAGAACAGTCTGTAGAGTCCAGGACTTTCTTTGGAGCTGATTGTCTCAGAAGCTGCTCTCTTGTGAAATGAGTTCAGAGTTTGTTCCACATCTCCTCATGTGTTTCCATCGTCTTTATTACTCCTGAGAAAAGATGAACAAGCTTTGCACAGGAACATTTTTTTAAGTCAAGTAGAAAGAGATCTGGTTAATTCTAGAAGAAAATAAGTTTTTTCTTCACACAAGACTTACTGCACGACTCGGAGATCAGCTTGGGAATCACCCATTAGAGAAGCCAGACCTGTCTCAACTCTGTCGCTGTCAGCCTCATCACAAAGCCGGACATTCTGGACCTGCTGTTGGTCTCAACAGACCCTTGGTTGACTCCTGGGTCCAAGCCGCCCCCTTTCAGTGTTGAACAGATACACCTGCACATCTCAGAACATCTCACACTTTTCCGCCCTCACACCAACAACATCACTGTGAGCTCTCGCAGCCCGTCAACCTTTTCTTTACAGAACATGTGAAATGCAAATGTTGCTCCAGTTTCTGGGCTGCTGTGGCGCCGCAGGCGTCCACCGGAGAACCAGGTCAGTGAGGAGGCTGACGTCCTGAAAACATCTCTGCTGGCACGTCCAGCGGTCAGTTCACAGAACATTATGTTTTACACTGAGTTCCACAGGTCATGTGACCCAGTTCTCAGTGGTAAACAGAACAAATTATGACCGAACTGAAACAGAACGTTCAGGTCCGGTCTGTTCACTGTAAATTCAGAAAATGTCTCAAATCAAACTTTATTTATAAAACCAGCAGAGGACAGCTGATGGGTCCCCTTAGGGCCCACTGACATCTGTGTGTCGCTGATTCATTCTGTGGCCCCAGACTCACTGTGAGCCCCAGACTGTGACCCCAGACTGTGGCCCCAGACTCTCTGTGACCCCAGACTGTGAGCCCAGATTGTGGCCCCAGACTCTCTGTGACCCCAGACTGTGGCCCCAGACTCTCTGTGAGCCCAGACTGTGACACCAGACTGTGACACCAGACTCTCTGTTACCCTTGACTGTGGCCCCAGACTGTGACCCCAGACTGTGAGCCCAGATTGTGGCCCCAGACTCTCTGTGACCCTAGACTGTTGCCCCAGACTGTGGTCCCTGACTCTCTGTGACCCCAGAATGTGGCCCCAGACTGCGGCCCCAGACTCTCTGTGAGCCCAGACTGTGACCCCAAACTCTCTGTTACCCTTGACTGTGGCCTCAGACTGTGACCCCAGACTGTGTTCCCTGACTGTGGCCCCAGACTCTCTGTGACCCTAGACTGTGGCCTCAGACTGTGACCCCAGACTGTGACCCCAGAATGTGTTCCCTGACTGTGGCCCCAGACTCTCTGTGACCCTAGACTGTGGCCCCAGATTATCGGTGACCCCAGACTGTGACCCCAGACTGTGGCCCCAGACTGTGAGCCCAGACTGTGGCCCCAGACTCTCTGTGACCCTAGACTGTGGCCCCAGACTGTGACCCCAGAATGTGTTCCCTGACTGTGGCCCCAGACTCTCTGTGACCCTAGACTGTGGCCTCAGATTCTCGGTGACCCCAGACTGTGACCCCAGACTGTGGCCCCAGACTGTCTGTGACCCTAGACTGTGGCCCCAGATTCTCGGTGGCCCCAGACTGTGACCCCAGACTGTGGCCCCAGACTCTCTGTGACTCTAGACTGTGGCCCGAGAATGTGGCCCAAGAATGTGTCCCCAGACTCTCTTTGACTCTAGACTGTGGCCCCTGACTGTGGCCCCAGACTCTCTGTGACCCCAGACTGTGGCCCTAGACTGTGACCCCAGACTGTGGCCCCAGACTCTCTGTGACCCCAGACTGTGGCCCCAGACTGTGACCACAGACTGTAGCCCCAGACTCTCTGTGACCCTAGACTGTGGCCCCAGATTCTCGGTGGCCCCAGACTGTGACCCCAGACTGTGGCCCCAGACTGTCTGTGACCCTAGACTGTGGCCCCAGACTCTCTGTGACCCCAGACTGTGGCCCCAGACTCTCTGTGACCCCAGACTGTGGCCCCAGACTGTGACCCCAGACTGTGGCCCCAGACTCTCTGTGACTCTAGACTGTGGCCCCAGACTCTCTGTGACTCTAGACTGTGACCCCTGACTGTGGCCCCTTACTCAGGCTTGTAATTCTATGTGCCTCTTAAGGGCCCTGTCTCCTCTATCTGAAGCAGTGAAATCGGCTCTCATTGACGAGGTTGCGTGATGAAAATCACGTCACCTTGTTCTCAGAGTAGCTCCGCCCCTTCTTGACAAGGCCCGGGTCAAACTTTTTCTCACAGGTGAAAGTGTCAGGTATTGTGTGATTGGTCAGAAGTTAGTGGGCGTGTTCATCAATGTGGAAATGTGCTGAGACGTTCAGCTGCATGATTCTTCAAACACTAAATTAGTCAAATGTCCAAAACCTCCTGTATGGAGATCGTGCACACATCGTGCATGGAGTCTGCCAGATGAAAAGTGTGGCGCTCTCTTCATGACAGATTTGTGGCCAAACAGCAGCAGCAGGGACGGAATAGACTGTCGGTTTGAAACTCGTGCTGTGACGTAGACTGGGGGCGGGGCTTCCCAGGAGCTCTGTGCCGTGTGTCTCGTGGACGATGAAAGGTGTGCGTGAAAACGAACGTCCTGCAACCACGGGACTGCAAGTCGACTGTTCAGCTTCGTATGGAGTATTCTGGGCCCTTTAGTCTCTCTGTGGCTCCTGACTTTACGGTCCCTGAACTTTTTGGGCCCCTAGCCATGAGTCTTGATTCACCTGTGGTCCATGAATGTGTCACATCCTGTTTTTTGTCATATGCAAGTTTTAGGGAGTGTCAGAGGTCAGATAGGTGAGTTCCTCAGCAGCAGGTGGGTTGTCCCTGGGTCCCCAGCGGTGGCCCCCTCCAGGCCCCCTGTGGACTGGATCTGACTCCTACCACCACAGCTCGTCCCCACCACTGCTGCGGGTGCTCGCCCGCTCTCGGTTCTGCAGCCGCAACATCTCTTGGACACTGCGGGCATAGGCGTCTCTCAGGTTTATGCCTCCCAGCGCCCCCCCC